CGTGGCTTGTGTGTTGCTGTGAGGTTTGGGGCTGGGCCACTGGTGTGTCAAGTTCTGGCAGGGTTGCACATGGTGCACAGGTTTCAATGCAGCTTACAGATTGAGACAGACTAGGAAGAAGGAAGAGGCCATCCACTTCTCAAAGGATTGGGCAGGGAAAACCTTATGAATAGCAGAGAAACATTGTCTGATATGTTACTGCGCAACTTTGTGAATAGCTCAGAAGCATCTGATACAGTGCAGGAGAATGAACTCCTGAGGTCAAAAGGCTTTCAAAATACAACTAGGAAAGAGCTGCATCATCAAAGTAGGACCAACCTTACTGATATGGATAAAGTAAAGCATTCAAGACCTCCATTTGCTGACGTGGCACGGCCCAAATTGAGGAGAAACAGCTGCAAACATCCATTAATACTTGGAACATGGAATGTGTGAAGTATGAATCTAGGAAAATTGGAAGTTGTCAAAAATGAAATGGAATGCATAAAGATTGATATCCTAGGCATTAGTGAGCTGAAATTGGCCATTTTCAATCAGATAACCATATGATCTACTATGCTGGGAATGACAATTTGAAGAGAATGGCGTGACATTCATCATCACAAAGGATGTTTCAAGATCTGAAGTACAATGCTGTCAGTGATAAGATAATGTCCATATGCCTACATGTAGAAGACCAGTTAATATGACTATTATTCAAATTTATATACCAACCACCAAAGCCAAAGTTGAGGAAATTAAAGATTTTTATCAACTTCTGCAGTCTCAAATTGACTGAGCGTGAAATCAGGATGTGTTAATTTTCGCTGTTGACTGGAATGCAAAAGTTGGAAACAAAGAAGAATCACCGGTAGTTGGAAAATTTGGCCTTGGTGACAGAAATAATGCTGGAAATCACATGATACAATTTAGTAAGACCAAAGACTTATTCTCCTCGGAAGGAAGGTTGGACAATCTACTTCCGTAGTGATACTGCCTCGGAAACCCAAGGAGGGGTGGCTATGAGTCGAGTCGGACTTGACAGTACATAACAACAACATAACAATGATTATTCATTGCAAATACCTTTTTCCAACAACACAAACAGTGCCTGTACAAGAGGACTTTGCCACATGGAACACAGGAATCAGATTGACTACATCTGTGGCAAGAGGTGACGGAAAAGCTCAATATCTTCAGCCAAAACAAGGCCAGGAGCTGATTGTGAAACAGACCATCAATTGCTCATACAAGTTCATCTTGAATTTGAAGACAATTAAGTCCAGAAGAGCCAAAATCTGACCTGGAATATATCCCTCCTGAATTTATAGACTATCTAAAGAACAGATGTGATACACTGAACACCAATGACCAAAAACCAGAAGAATTGTGGCATGCCATCAAGTACATCATCTATGAAAAAAGCAAGAAGTCATTAAAAAGACGAGAAAGGAAGAAAAGACCAAAATGTATGTCAGAAGAGACTCTGAAACTTGCCCTTGAGTGGAGAGTAGCTAAAGCAAATGGAAGAAATGACAAGATAAGAGCTGAACAGAAGATTTCAAAGAGCAGCTCGAGCAGCCAAAGCCAATTACTATAATGAAATGCGCAAAGACCTGGAGTTAGAAAACCAAAAGGGAAGAACACACTCGACATTTCTCAAGGTGAAGGAACTGAGGAAACAATTTAAACCTCGATTTGCAATACTGAAAGATTCTATGGGCAAAATATTGAGTGATGTAGGAAGCATCAAAAGAAGATGGAAGGAATATACAGAGCTCACTAATGCCTAGGATATCAATCTTTATGCCTTCCATTTCCTTTTTAACAGCTTCCAATTTTCCTAGATTCATACTTCGTACATTCCATGTTCCGATGATTAATGGATGCTTGCAGCTGTATCTCCTCAATTTGGGTCGTGCCACATCAGCAAATGGAGGTCTTGAACACTTTACTTTATCCATATCAGTAAGGTTGGTCCTACTTGGATGATGCAGCCCTTTCCTGTACCAAAAAGAACTGGTCAATGTTCATCCATTTCAGGAGGTGGCATATGATCAAGAACCAATGATAGTGAAGGAAGAAGTCAAGGCTGCACTGAAATAATTGGCAAAGAACAAGGCTCCAGGAATTGATGGAATACCCATTGAGATGTTTCAACAAACAGATGCCCCACTGGAGGCACTCGGTTATGCCACAAGATTTGGAAGACAGCTACCTGGCCAACTGAGTGGAAGAGATCCATATTTGTGCCCATTCCAAAGAGATGATCCCACAGAATGTGGAAATTATTGAATAATATTAATATTGCATGCAAGTAAAATCTTACTGAAGATAATTCAAAAGTGGTTGTAGCAGTATATTGACAGAGAACTTCCAGAGATGCAGGCTGGATTCAAAAGAGGATGTGGAACAAGGGATATCATTGCTGATGTCAGATGGATCTTGTCTCAAAGCAAATACCAGAATGATGTTTACTTGTGTTTTATTGACTATGCAAAAGCATTTGATTGTGTAGATCATATCACATTGTGGATAACATTGAAAAGAGTGGGAATTCCAGAACACTTAATTGTACTCATGAGGAACCTGTACATAGACCAGGAGGCTATCATTTGAACAGAACAAGGGGACACTACAGGGTTTAAAATCAAGAATGGAGTGTGTCAGGGTTGTATTCTTTCACCACACTTATTCATTAATAAGTAATGAATAATCCGAGAAGCTGGACTATATGAAGAAGAATGTGGCATCAGGATTGGAGGAAGGCTCATTAACAACCTGTGATAGGCTGATGACACAACTTTGGTTGCTGAAAGTGAGGATGACGTGAAGCACTTACTGATGAAGATTGAAGACTACAGTCTGCAGTATGGATTACATCTCAATATGAAGAAAAAAAATCCTCACAACTGGACCTGTAAGCAGCATCGCAATGAAAGGAGAAAAGACTGAAGTTGTCAAAGAGTTCACATTGCTTGGTTCAACAATTGATGCCAATGGAGGCAGCAGTCAGGACATCAGACGATGCATAGCACTGGGTAAATTGGCTTCAAAGGACCTCTTTCAAGTGCTGAGGAGCAAAGATGTCTCCTTGGGGACTAAGGTGCACCTGACCCAAGCCATGATATTTTCAATTGCCTCATAAGCACGTGACAGCTGGACAATGAATAAAGAAGACCAAAGAAGAATTGATGCTTTTGAGTTGTGGTACTGGTGAAGAATGCTGAAAGTACCATGGACTGCTAAAAGAACTAACAGGTCTGTCCTGGAGGAAGTGCAGCCAGAATGCTCCTTGGAAGTGAGAATGACCAGACTTCGTCTCACCTACTTTGGTCATGTTGTCAGAAGGGACCATTCCCTGGAGAAGGATGTCATGCTTGGTGAGGTGGAGAGTTGACAAAAGAGGGGAAGGTCCTGAATGAGATGGATTGACATACTGGCTGCAGTGATGGGCTCAAGTATAGCAGGAATAGTGGAGCTGGTGCAGGACTATGCAGTGTTTCGTTCTGCTGTGCATGGGGTCACTATGAGTCGGAGACGACTTGACGGCACCCAGCAAACAACAACAAGAAGGAACTGTCAATCAACCTGAGCAAATGCCACAAACCCTGTAGGGCAGAAACCAAAGCAATACCAACTCCTCAGGGCTTGGGAGACGAGACGCCTCTCAAGCTGTTTGTCCGAAGAACCGAGGTGGAAGGCCAAATACAGGAACTCATTGCACCACAGAGCTGCAAAGGGAAACCATGGTGACTGCAAGGTGTTGGCAGCTTTGCTTTCTAATATCGGATCGCTCACAGTGGTTCTACTGTCCACCCTTTGGCCAAATATGACCTCTTTGTTTAAAAAACCCAACCATGGAGAGTTGGATTTACAAGGACAACACTTGGTGAGTCTTCCCTCTTCCAAACGACCCAGGCTTCGGCTCTGTGTCCTCTCCAGCCTCCTCAGGTGGTGTGGTTTCATTCACACTTTGTGATCCCTGATCTGCACAGGCAATTCCACGTTATCCTCACACACACCCCTGCACACAGGAGCCTGCTGGCACAGGGGGTACTCTGGCCGAGTCTTTTCACTATGAGTTTTCCTCTGACAAGGTTCTCTAGAGATACCACATTGAAGCCAGACCGCCGAGGACACGGAGCTTCAAGCACACGTGCTTTGTCGGGTGGTGGTGCGTTCTCAATCGTCTGGATCATGGACTTGGTCCTATCAGAGTGACTCAAGGGCACCTCCATGGTGGCTCTGGAAGCCCCTGTGAAACAACCACCCATTAAGCCTCAGAAGGGAGACCTCGATTGTGGGGCAAACCCTGAGGGACAGAAGGAAGGAAACACCAGCACAGAGAGGCGACGCTGCAACCCAAGTACGTAAAACTTTTAATGAACTAACCTTACAAAAGACAATGGCATCAAAACCTCAGACGTGTCTGGTACAAAACTGCTTCTGTGTGGCGAGGATTAACTATGGTGAGGATGGGGATGTGCTGCTGGCAGGAGACACGACAGAGCAGCGTGATGAGGGCCACAGAGCCAGCAGGGCTGTGGACAGCTGCTGGTGACAAGACACGTGGGGGAACGTAGCACACTCCAAACAGGGAGACAGAATCAACTCATTCACAAATACTGTGTGTTTTAATATCAGACTAGCAGATGCGGCTGGCAAGCTACTGTATTTTCCAGAAAATAACATGCACCAGAAGATAACATACACCCCCTAGTTTTATTGCCTTAAGAATTTTTGTTAGTTTCACCTCTCCCACCTTCACTCGTCTTTGAAAGCGGCCATCCTATAGCGCGCTCCTCTCCCTCCTGCTCAGGGTAAGCACAGTGCGAGTGGCAGGCAGTCTTGGCACACATCACACATCAAACGGTGTGCCACTGGGTCACAGGAACGGGTCTGCAGGGGCTCTGTGGGGCAGACAGAGCAGGGACGGCAAGGACGAGGGTGAGGGTGGCAGTCAGGAAGTGTGAGGCCCTCCCTAGATGCAGTCTCCTCTGGCCGGGGCACGTGGCTCTTCAGGATGCCACGTTGCTCTGGGAGAGGGCCCTGGACATCTCTGTGTTCACAAAGTACGTCTTCAGCTCCCCCTTGCCTTTCACGTTGATTATCCCTCGACAGGAGCAGGTGTACCCAAGCGTCTGGAGGACGAGGCTCGTTTCCTCAGTCACCTGAAGGCCACATTGAGAAATGAAAACACATTTAGTAAGGAAGTCCGTGGCAGGGGGCAGTGGTGGTTCAGGGGCAGAATTCCTGCCTCCCCCACAGGAGACCCTGGTCTGATTCCTGGCCCATGCACCTCAGGGCAGCTCCCACCCGTCTTTCTGTGGAGGCATGTGTGTTGTGAGGATGCTGACTGGTTTCATGGAGCTTCAGGCTAAGATGAACTAGGCAGAAAGGCCTGCCCTTCTACTTCAGAAAAATCAGCTGAGAGGAACCCTATGGAGCACAACGATCTGATCTGCAACTGATCATGAGGCTGGTGCGGGACTGCGTGGCGATTCGGCCCACTGTGAGTGGGGTCGCCACGTGGGGGCCGGTGGGAGCTGCCGGGCGGCGATTTGGCCCACTGTGAGTGGGGTCACAATGGTGGAGGCCGGTGAGAGCTGCCGGGCGCGATTCCCTTCAGTCAGAGTGGGGTCGCCATGCGGGGGCCGCTGAGAGCTGCCGGGAGGCGATTTGTTCCACTGCGTGTGGGTCGTCATGGTAGGGGCTGGTGAGAGTTACCAGGCAGCAGCGACAACACTATGTACACCATTCCAAGGAAAGCCATTTGAGCTCAAGGACGAAGAACGAAACACTGCTCATGTTTTCTGACCTAGTGAGTCCACTCCTGAGAAATTAGTTGAAGAGGAATAAACACAGGAAGAAAGCTTTCTAGGCCCAGGTCACCGTTCAATACCATGCTGTGACTGCAAAACTAGAAGTGACCTGCAATGGAGAGATCCCTATGGCAGTAAGTCACAGTGCTCTCACGATCAGTGTCCCCTCCAATGAGATGATGCACAACGTCCAGTCATTTTACCCACAAAAAGCAAAACAGAGCCGGGGTCGTCACAGTGATTCCAAAGCTCGTGTCTGCACATGTAAGAGAACTGGGGGAAAGGTGGCAGAAAGGAAAATGCAGGAAGGTACGGTGGGTGGTGGGCTGAGGATGAGGCTACAATTGTCATGACGACGATTATCCATACAATAAACACAAATGATATTAATAAACAATAAGACATCCTTCAAACCTGGAACGAACCAATCCCTAGGAATCAATTTCAGTTAAGCAGTAAACCAAAAAGCTCTCAACCCAATGCCGTTGAGTGTATTCCAACTCACAGTACTCCTTGAAGAGAGAGTAGGACTGCCCTACATGCTGTCCAAAGTTATAAATCTTTACAGAAACAGACTGCTTCATCTTTGTTGTGTGGTGTAGCTGGTGGGTTCAAACTGCTGAACTTTCCATTAGCAGTGGAGCACTTAGTCACTGTGCCCCAGAGCTACTAGTCAAAGGACAGGCTTATAAAGTGAATAATACCACCAGCGGGGATCTACTCCTCAGTGCAATTAATCACAGGAGATGAAATGGGCAGCATGTGCTCTGGAAGAAAGGCCAGAGGAAGGAAGAAAGGAGGAGCAGAGATGGGCCTCAGGAGGAAGGGGCAGGAAGGAAGGAGGAACAGAGACGGGCCTCGGGAGGAAGGGGCGGGAAGGAAGGAGGAACAGAGACGGGCGCAGGGAGGAAGTGGGAAGAGTGCTGTTACATCAAGGGGATTACAACCAATGTCACAGAAGAAAATGTGTATAAACTGTTGAATGGAAAACTAATTTGTTGTGTAAATTTTCATCTAAACCAAAGTAAAACAAAACCAAAGCCGGGTTCCAGTGCACTCTGCCTGATGGCCGCATCTTGTGGTGGAGCGAGACTGTCTCCACAGGGTTCTCTCTGGTGGATTTTTCAGAAGTGATCACCAGGCCTTTCCTCTGAGGTCCCACTGGGTGGCCTGGAAAATCCAACCTTCTTGCTAGCAGCTGGTTGCAGTTACCGCTCACCCCACCAGGGGCGTTCTCATCCCTGGGAGAAGCCCTGTCCTGCTGAGAACTGAGTTCATGCTGTGCTCTCCGGGAGGGTCACGTGGGTCCTGGGGACCAGGGTGAACGTGGTCCTTGGGTTACCCGGAACAGGAAGGAAAGCTAGGAAGGTGAGGAACCAACCAGGTGCGCCATGCTCCCGGCCTGCTCTCCCCGGCTGGTCCCTAGTCCCTGAGGGAGGTGGTGAAATTGGAGTGAAGGCACCAGCCCTGAAGACTGGAAGAATGGGCACATAGCCAAGATGCTTGGGTATGACTCTCTTCTCCTGCCCCTGGTCAAGGGCTGTCTGATCACAGTCCTGCAGGCATATGGTGTGTGGTCTGTCACACTGACAGCAAACATTGTTTGGAGACTTTGAGGTTCATTTTATGGAGTCCCTGGGGTGCAAGTGATTAAGCACTCAACCACTATGTAAAAGGTTGACAGTTCAAGTCACCCCAGAGGTGCCGTGGAAGAAAGGTCTGGTGGTCTGCTTCCGAAAGGCTGCAGCCTTGAAAACACCATGGAGGAGGCCACCGCCCCCCGCGGGGAGGCCAGGAGTGGGAGCCAACGGTGCCAAGTGGCAGACCGGCCCTGCTGGGCTTCCCCAGGGGGCTGAAACACTCAGGCAGGAAGCCCACAGGCACCACGACTAATGGGGCCGAGGGAGGCCATCCGTCTTGGGGACCCCACTGTGTCCCTCCCATCTGTAGTCTTTGGACTGTGGTGCTGCCTCAGGCTGGGGGGCGGTCTCCCCTGTGTCTTATTTTTCCTGGCATCTCACTCCTTTTCTGAGTTTAGTGGAGATGGCAGGTGACTGGAGCTGCAGGGAGCTCGGATGAAAGCATGCGTCCCTTCTCCAGAACCTTCCAGCTGCCCAGCTCCACTGCACACAGGCCTGCATGCACCCTTCGTCTCGGAGTCTGGCTGCACTGGGCAGCTGGGCTGTGGCAGACCGCCACCCTCCAGGGTGGGCAGCTGCATGGGCTGGGCCCCACTTGGAAGCACTCCACCTCTCAGTCTTCCGTGAGAGCCGAAGTACCAGGAGAGGGGGCGTGGGGAGGGCATTCCCTGAGCTCCTTTCGTCCTGGCACTGTTAGATCAACCTCAGAGTCTCTAAAGATGTGTAAGGTGTGCAGCGAGGGAGCTCTCGAGTCAGATGTCTGTAGAGCTCTGGTCTGCCTGCTCCCAAGAGCTCCGGCATGGGAAACGGCTACCAGCCAACATCCTGGCTCCACCTCCTCCCAGTTCCCCTCTCAAGCACTCAGTCCAGAGACGGCCTGAGCCCCAAGCGGACTCGGGCGACTTTCTTTCTCCCTGGCATCACTATTACTGCTCCTGTTGTCACTGCTGTGCTTGTGTGGCTCCTGAGAGGAGCAGCGTCACTGGTGGGTCAGACAACACTACCTGTATTTTATCCAGGACTCCTGTGCTGTCCATCCGGCTGGCCACGTTGACGGTGTTGCCCCAGATATCGTACTGTGGTTTCTGAGCGCCAATCACACCAGCAATTACGGGGCCGTGGTTAATACCTGAGACAAGTCACAGTGGGTTAACAAGGCCGGCCTGTAGCAACCGTTATAAACAAACGTTTTATTACTTATTACATTCGTTTTTTATAATGATTTATTATTTGTTGTTGAGAATATACACAGCAGGATGTACACCAATCAGTTTCCATGCGTAACTCAGGGACAGTGATGGCATTCTTTGAGTTTTGCAACCCTTCTCACCCACCTTTCTGAGTTGTCCCTCCTCCATTAACATCAACTCACTGCCCCTTGAGGTTCCTGTCTCATTTTCCCGGTGGCCGTCGTCAGCGTGGTCCCATAGAGACACTTAAAACAGGAAGTTGGACAGCATTTTCGGATCAATGTTTTACACAAACTTTGCCAAACTCATGGAATTCGAATCCCTATAACTTTATTAGGAGCTCTGGTAGCGTGGTGCCTAAGGCACTTCACTGCTAACCAGAAGGCTGGTAGTTCAAACCCACCAGCCACTCCTCGGAAGGAAGGTTGGGCAATCTACTTCCATAGAGATAATGCCTCGGAAACCCAAGGAGGGGTTGCTGTGAGTCGGGTCCGACTTGATGGCACATAACAAGAACAACATAACTTTAACATCTGAAAACCATTACAGTGTTTTAAATTTGCCCCTTCTTGAGAATAGAAGGGCTGTGTATGCACAGGGAGACAGCTTGTGGGGCAGGAGTGCATGGGAGAGATGGACACAGGGAAGAGGTAACTGATAGGGAGGAAGTGGGAGTGGAGCTGTTGCATTTGGGAAATTGCAGTCAATGTCATGAGACAAAGTATATGTGAGCTGCTGAATGGAAAGTGAATTTGCTCTGTAAACTTCCACCCAAATCACAATGAAAATTTAAAAAAAAAATTATACAGAAAAATAGAAATCACTTATAATCACAGAAACAAACAAACATCACCCCTTCTTCTTTCTCCTAGGCCAGACTCATGCTCACACATCCATCATTCATCACCCCATCATCACATCAAACTGGTATACTTAAACAAATTATCATTATTTCTTCTATGTGGCTACATAATATTAGGCAAGAGATGGTCATACACTGTTTTCCAGTAGTTCCGTGTGGTTATTGTTAGGTGCCATGCAGTTAGTTCTGACTCGTAGTGACTCTGTGTACAACAGAATAGACACTGCCCACTCCTGCGCCAGCCTCACCCATAGTCGCCACGTTCGAGCCCTTGTCAGTTACCATGTCGGTCTACCTCATCGAGGTCTTCCCTTTTCTCACTCACCCTCTGCTTGGCAAAGCACAATGTCCTTCTGCAGGGATGCATCCCTGCTGATAATATGACCAAGGCACATCAGATGAAGTTTGCCATGTTCACTTCTGACAAACATTCTGGCTGTCCTTCTTCTGAGACAGATTGGTTTGTCCTTCTGGCAGTCCACGGAATATTCACAATTTTTCATCAACACCATCATCAAATGCATCAATTCTTCTTTGATCTTCCGTTCAGCTTCTACATGCATGTGGGGTGACTGAAAATACTATAGCTCGGGTCAGTTGCACCTTAGTCTTCAAAGTGACTTTTTAAAAAAAAAAAAAAAAA